GAATACTACTATTTGGTCTCTTCTCCTCCAACTCCTACAACCACCCTCTCGACCCCCCAAAAAAAAATTAAAGACCAAGCAAAAGGGAAAAAAGAGAAGGGAGAAAGATATGAAATCATTTGGGAAAAATGAAAATGGTGGAGGCAATTGGAAAAGAGTGGTTTGGGTGACAGGATGGGTACCTTTCGATGATTGCATCATCTTCATTAAGAAGCCAAATGTTCAGGGATGGATTGTGCTCTATTTTGGGCTTTGGTCCACAACTTAGCTTGGACCAATTCGTCAACTAATATATGTTACTCCTTATTACTGACAAACTATGTAGGCCCGCGTTTAGTTTAGCACACTGGAATGCTCAAAATGTGAAGTTCTTTCTACCCAAAATTTGTTTCGATGTGTGAGAATAGAACGTGCATTCCATTTTTAATGTTTGGTATAATGAATTTTTAGATGTCATGTTGGAATAAATTCTATGCAAATTTGAGTTAATTATCTTGAAATATAACATAGGACAGTATGTGTTTTTAATTTTAGTGTATTCGTTTGTGCTATGCTATTTGCTTACTTTATACAAGGAATTTTGAATTTTTTTCTTTATTTTAAGAATAAATTATGTACTTAATGAAATACTTGATGATAATATCTATTAATTATGAAATATGAAACTTTATTCTAGTTTTTCTTTTCACTAGTAGTATAATTACCAATTTATAAAAAAATTAAATTACATGAAATCATGCGTTCATGTTCTCTCTTTTTTTTTTTATGTTTTCATTGTCTATCAAGTGCAAAAAAGAAATCCATATACATTTTGTACAAAAATTTAGAAAAATAATATCTTAAACTTAACAAAGAAAAATATTTTAAACAACAAGATTCATTCTTTAAAATAATTATGGTCTAATATTTGGTAACGGAGTACAGAGATGTAGAAGGATAAATTTAACCCCAATAATTCTGGACATTCCGGAATAAAGTAAAAAAGAAAATTTTTATTAGAATTTTATGAGGAATGCTATTTTAGGAAAATGTAGAATGAGTTTTCTAAGGGGTAAGCCCATTTTAATCGAAAGGATTGATACCAAACACGAAAATGAAATGGACAAGATTAAAAAAAAAAAAAAAAAAAAAGTCTTCCCATTCTAGACGATTTTTGCGTACAAAACAAACGTGGGGTTAAGGACGGTTGCCATGACCATGTAAATGACAAGTCTGTCCTCTTTCTACCAATTCCACAATCTTACATTAAACTTCACCGTTCTTGGTTACGATGCGTTACCTTCGAGTCTTTCTAAGTTGGGATTACTTTTTGTTTCTTTCAGAAAAGGCTTGTAACGTTAATTTTTTGATTTGTACGCTTCAAATAGTATTCATGAACATTTAAGCGAAAAAAAAAAAAAGAAATAGGGTTTGCATATTAGATCATATTAGTGTCTGACCAAAAATTGTACCTCTTCCCAAACTGTAGAAGTATGGTTCATGCGGAAACACATTATTTACATAAACTAAGGGTTAATTACAATTACCTCCCTTAAGGTTTGGCACGGGGCATATAGCAACTATTGATTGTACCCATTGGAGTAGAAAAGTGACAAATCGTCCATGCAATTATGTGCCTTTTTGTGCTTGAAAGCTAACACATGGTATTATCCCAATTGAACCTTGTACACACTTATTGGTTGTGAAGAAGTCTTTCGAGCGAAGGTTGCTGGTAAATTATATGTTATCCCAATTGACAATCCTAGCTTCAATTCTAGCCATTAAATTAAAAGGCTATTTAAATCTAAACCCACTACAAGGTGAAGCTCTCAACTCGAAAGAACTTTCATTTTTTCTTGATTTTGGTATACTCTCTTTTTCTTTTTTTCATAATTTTTATTTAATTTCTCCTCTGTTTGTTATTGCACAGCTCTTTTTTTTCCTTATATTTTATTATTGTCATGTTATTTCAAATCTTTCTTCTATGAGGTAACAATTAGTGAAATTGACTTTTCATAAAAATTTGCAACTCTTTTCTTTTTCTTTTGTGGTTCTTGGGTAGTCAATTTCTTTTAGTATATTTGAGGAAATAAAGAAAAGAAAAGAATGTTATTATTACTTCAGGAAAAAGTCAAAGGAATTAGTGATGACACATAGGTCTATAAGGGCATTTTTGGCCTCTCATAATAGTTTTGTTGCTGACATCATACCTTAACTAACATCTTAGGATAGCAAGGGGGTCTTTGATAAACGTTTGCTTAGTCAAGGGATTAGACTGTTATTTGATTAAACCTCAAGGTTTGACTGGTAGTTTGGCTAAACCTTAGGGGAGGTAAATGTAATTAACCCCAAAAACTAATGTTCATTTCTTTTAGGGAAAATGACCAATTTAGTCCTTAAACCTTTTTTTCCATCGATTTAGCCCCCAGCACTAAAGTCCCTAAAATATTCCTCCTAAGTTGCTCGATTAAGAGCCTGATGGAAATTATGTGGTGACGACGCCGTTGAGTTTCTTGATTAAAATCGAAATATAAGTTTAGGGATCAGATTGACTACAAAAAATATATATATGAGCTAAATTGATGGGAAAAAAAGTTTAGGGACTAAATTGACCATTTTTTCTTTCTTTTATAATTGTTAAGCAAGTTGAGAGAATTGTAGAACTTAATAATCTTGAAGTTATAAAAAAAAAATCCATAATCAACTAGACCTATCATTTTGCATTCATTCTTATGCAAATAATTTGTCATTGCACAATCATATGATACATGCACCATTTACAGGATCAGAACTTATTATTAGTTAATAATCATGCATAGTTTGCTTAATCTATGTATTGAATTCCTCAATTTGCTAGCTAAAGAGCATACATGATTGGATTGAATTGCATTTGAATATTGTTAGTAAGAGAAGGGAGGACGTAGGCATCGATGAACTGAAGCCAAAGAACAGAAATTAATGACTGGAGTTGGGGAAGCAGTCAGATAATGAGGACAAAGGGGGAGTCAATTTGATTCCAATTCCAAATCACTACCAAACAAAATCTCACATTGCCCTTCTAATCACTCCCTCAGCTCAGCTTTTATTAACTCCTTCCGCCGCACGATACGTGTTTCATTTTTTCACATCGGTTTCCATGCAATGTATCCCCTCCTCCCAATCTCCCCCCCCCCCCCCCCCTCTCTCTCTTTTAATTTACTTGAAAGTAGTATAAAAATTGCATACAAATTTTATCTGTGTGAATAGTATATACAAGTTTACAGTGCATTCAAGATGTGACCATTTTGAGGGCATAATATAGAAATTTTATGGTTTAATTTTTTCCACCCAGCATTTAGCCAATTGCCACCTTGAAACAAAAAATATCCAAAGTTGAATTTGAATATAGGTCAAAATCTTCACTCTTCAATCATTAAAATCTAAAGCAACAAAAAATTAAGGGTAGGTCAAAATCATCACCTTTCAGCATAATCTTCCACTAAAAGTGTAGCATTTTTTCGTGTCACAGCATATTTCGGGATGACAATTGTCTCCGTGGACCTGATGAAATAAGATGTAACACGGTTAAAAAAAAGCACAAAATGTATTAAAAAATAAAAAAAAATGACTAACTTTTTATGTGTTGATAGTGTAGTGAATTTTTTACATTAATAACTTTGAATATGTGTTACATATGGATGATTTAAATTTTATATTTGAATTCATATTATGCAATATGATCTAAATCTGTTAGCGTACGGAAAAATTATCCAAGAAAAAATCGAAGCTTGCTAAAAGTTATTTTTCTTCTTAAAATTTTACGTTTTTCGTAAATATATTTTTTAATTTAAAATACATCAACTCGTTACAATATTTTATTTTTTTTTTACAAAAACTGTTAAAAATAACAATCCAAACAGGCTTTTTCAAATAACTTTCCAAATTATCAGGCTCGAAACAGAAATGTGATTTAGAATTTGACTTCATTCTGAGCAGTGCTCCAAGAAGTTATAATTCAAAAGATGAAGCAGCAGCCAACAAGGTCGAAACAACTACCATTAATACTACACTAGTTATTATGATGGCATGCCCAAAATACCCCTGACATAACCCTGTAACTTTTGTTCTCACTCAGCGATTATGTTTTCTTGTCTGCATGCACTTTTTACGTAAACAGGACAACTACTTCACTGGAAGACCTAAATATATTTATACTGCTGCCATCAACTTTTGGAGCTATTCCAATCTTGATTTTTCCATCCCTCTGTCCATCTATCCATCTTCATAATCAACTGGGCTCTTTCTTGTTTATTTTATCCCCTTCCTTTTTTTTTTTTTTTTCAATTGCGAAAACAGTGTTTGTTTGGAATCAACTGGTCTCGTGTTAGTACGGACGAACAATCTTCTCAAGGTAACAGTAAGATCCCCTTCTGGCCTGGCCATGGAAGAATCAAAGCTCACAAACAAAAATTGGAAAAGCCAACCTTCTGTAGTTTTACGTTATATTTGTGGGTTTCATTTTTCAAAGCCAGAACAGGAATAATTTATGTAAACAACTTTGGACGTAGCTCGTTCACATTTCACCAAGAGTTGTGTTTTGGATTCAGTGTGTGTTTGCCGGTCAAAAATCATGCTTTGTCTTCTTTTTGGGTAAACAGTGAAAATCAGATATCTTCGTGTGATATTTTGACTACATGACCTTAACCTCATTTATGCAATTCATCGTCAATGATTAAACAACCAAATGAATTATTAATTGGAAACCTGCATAGTGACTGTGTTGACCAAATTGACCAAGGAGCATGTCTTTGTCGGTTGAATGAAGTCGAATCACTAGTAAGTTGCTCTTTGACCCTAGAAATTAATTAATTAATTATACAGTTTTTAATTGCTCGAGAGCAAGACGACCGTATCAAATCCTATACTAGATCATTGATAGGAAATAGTAGCAGGTGAAGGAGAGAAGAATATAAGGTCCTACAATGAGTGCCAGCATTAGTTGCTAATTTTTAAAATTTTGAAGAATTAATCAAATATAAACATTTTGTTCTCGAATCGCAGATTATGTATATATATATATATCTAGGAACGAGGATCAAAATTAACGTTGAGGATTATTGACAATACACAATTATGTTGTCAACGAAAATGAAGAGAAAAACAGCAAGTCCTGAGTTTTGAAGACATAATAAATGGCTCAACACTTCAAACAATCAATTCTGCCAACATCTTTTCCGTTGAACCATCCTTTCCTGCCCTTCTCCCTTCTATGACTCTCATGTCATTCTCTTCCTGATTCCCGGGATGCAAGATTGCTTTTGGCAATGAAAACCAATGCAGCAAATCTTGAAGGGGCAATCTTTGCCCTTTTCAGCCAACCAAACCTATCAACCCCATCAATCATGAATCAACACAGCTAGCTAGTGTGGTCTGTTTGTAAAAAGTTTCTTTGGGGTTGTACCTGCAGATTGTGCACAGGACCTTACATGAACTTGGTTAAAAGCTTTGGAAGAATAGAAGATGAGTAAACAAATCAAATTGAATAAAGAATTGCCCATTTTGGAAAAAATAGGTGCAACCTAGGCCACGAGATGAAAAAGTATCGTTTTACTAGATGCGAATCAACAACAATGCACTTTAAGCAATTCCAAAGTTGCAATACCGAGCTCAACACTTTAAAAAAGGCATAAATTATGATTACCTAAAATCCATAAAGTTTCAATCTTCCAAGACAATGACAGAAGCAAATATACATCAGTCCCGAAAGGTGAAAAGTGAAGCGATTTTGCATCAAAACAGTGAAAGTGAAAACACAAGAATCTATTATGATTTGGCGAAATTTACACGGAATCGGTACATATATCCAGTGGTTCTACTTCTTCTTCCTTCCCACTTTAAACTATTCAGCAATCAACTAGATTGCTGAACTCAAACTATATGCAATATACAGAGATACATGACAACAATTAAACAAAAAATTGAAGTAAAGAAGGCGAGTAACGAAAAGGTTTACATTCAATCACTAAAAAGAATTGAAGTAAAGAAGGCAAGAAACAAAAAGATTTCCATCCAGTCACCAAATGATTCCCATTCTAATTAATAGCTATAAAATTAAGAAATCTCAACTTCTATATACATCAAGATCCTCCACTTCCTTCGTCTCCAAATCCCAAAAGAGCATTTGCTAAGCACCAAAATACGCACGGTTTGCCCCTTTATATAACTAGAACCATCAAAATGCATCTTCTCTCTGAATATGAGAAAAAACGTGGGTATTTTGGGTTTAAATCTAACCAAAAAAAAAATCTAATTCGATTGAAAAAAGAGAGAAAGGAGAAGTAAAGGAAAACATAAAAAAAACATAAGAATCTTGAATCTACTTGTTGTGGAGAGGATCTGGGCAGCTGGGAACCCTTCTCTTGCTCTCTTGAAAAGTACCATTATTCTGATTAGTACTGTTGAGATCAGAAACTCTTTGCCTGAAGTATTCACGAAAGAGTTGGGTATGATTCTTGATGCTGTTGGATTTCTTTAGTGTCTGATGATCTACTTTCTCCAATGCCACTCTACTTCCTGGTAATATGCGCAAGGCCCCAACTCCTCCACTCTTTTCACTGAAAACCCATATATGCAGCACTGAAATGATGATCAGCAAAACCACCAGAGATGAATACATAACTGACGTTCTTCCACCGGCAAATGACATCACCGGAAAACCCACATAAATTTACTTCAATCTGAATCTTTTCCCGGCCACACTAGACTACTTGTCCGGTTACAGAAGAAAGTTTGAGCAGAAATACACAAGTCTCTCGTGTGGTTTTATCTGTGTCTCTTACCATCTAAACTATACTTGAGTATGAATTGACGGCTTTGTGTTTTACATAGAGTGATAGAGGGAATAGTCATGCATGAATGGGCCCACATTTTGATGATGACATATATACCAAACCAGCAGGTGCAGTGTGGGTCTGCTTGTGTATATATTTACTACACAAAAATGCTACTATTACGATTGTTTAATCTTCAAATCTGAGAATTAATAATTGAGGAATTGATGTTTGTGTATTGAGTGTCCATCTAAGGCTAAATTACGACATTGCCAGTTCCAAATACTAGTAGGTTTTGGCTCAAAAAAAACAAAAACAGTGAATGAATTAACGAATAGGAAGGGATGATCAAAAGACACCTACTTTTCTTATTGTAACTTATAGGTTGTTTGAATTGCACTTTATAAATAGTTGTTCTGTTTTAAAAAAATTACTATAGAATTTTTTTATAATGTAGTATATTTAAGATAAAAAAGTGATTAATGAAAAATATGTAAGAAAGTATTCACAAAATATAAAAATTTTCTCTTAAAATTAGCAATCTGAACATCCAACCTATCCCTTTCGATATAGGCCAAAACTTGCAACTAGTTACCCTAATTGAAATACCAATACCGCCAATTTATCTCTTGTTGCAAATGTAGATGTTGTACTGCTAACGAAACGTGCATTAGCTAAGGTAAACCTCAATTCTGTCACGATCAACCTTTCATGAAATTTCTAGCCCAAAAAAAAAAAAAACTTTCATGAAACTTGCCAACTGAACCAGGTAGTTAGAAGTAATAATTAGTCCCAGTATTTTTTTGGGAAATAAAGTCGAACCGCTTATATTGGTCTATTGAAACCATGCTAGCTCGAAGATATGCAGTCCTTGGACTTGAGGGTTCATAACAGAGTCAAATCATCTCGCCATCATTCTCAATGAGTTGTAAAGGAAAATACTAGTAATAATTTCATCAATCAATGTGACAAGTCCCAGTTACCTAAATTTGGATCTGGTAGACTTCATGAATTATGTAACAACAAGGATTTTTATTTTCTACATTTTGTACTACTTACCAATTTGTTTCACAAATACGGGGAAGCATCGTGTGCTTGCTTTGCTTTGATGATAATGGCTTCAAAATTTGAACTCTAGTAGAGGTTTCCCTCGAGGGAAGGACAGAAGTACCAACAACATTAAATTCCCTCGAATTATATTTATAGCTTAGCCAGCTTACTTTTTTCTTCTTTTATGTGAGAGTTGTAGCCATTTTGCGTGTGCTGTTGTTTCTCGGTGCGAGTGTGTGTGGTCTTTTTTTTTTTTTTTTTTTATCCTTAAATTTTAATGAGTTGGAGTGGTTGGGGATGGGGATTGTTTAACTTTAAGGCAGGGTGGCACTAGGCGTCCTTAAATACGTACCAAACAACTACCCATATCTTGCATAATATTGCATGGTAGCAGTATATCTTAAAGTATTAAATTACCAATGGAGTTGAGCTATATATGAAGACTTGCCGTCACTTGCTTTGAAAAAATTGAAAGATATTAATTCTGATACCAGGAGGAGAAAAATGATATAGAATGTGCAGAAATATGAGATGGCCAAAACAGTAGGTTAGCCAACCGGGAATCCCGCTAACTTGTTCATAAACAAGATTATTTTAGGGACCATATATTCATGTAAATAGGGTATATATATATATATATATATACATATATAAAGTACTAGCTAGTGTTAATAACATGTATATAGAGATTTGCAAGAAATCTAACATGGCCCGGGGCGGTGGAAGGTATTCAAGCAGGGAATATGGAAGACGGAATATTTGTTATGTGGTCCGTGCAAATTTCTGCCATCGCTCTCTGCGTACATGATTTTTTTTTTGTACAATTCCCTCTTGCAAATTTTCATGCTAAACCAACCTGTGAATCGTCTTTGAAATGCCAATTGTCTGAGCTTTGGATTTTGGTGTCTGCTGTTCAGCTTAAAAAAAAAACACGGTGCTATAGATTTGACCTTAGTATTTGTATGCAGAAGTCTTTAACTCGCTGATTCCAATAGAAAATAACAACTTAATTCCTAAACCCTCTCAATCCATACTCCAGCCTCAATTCGCTTAAACGGTTATTGATTTCCTTGAATTACTTGGACCAATAATCCTCCAAACATTGCTGCTTCCGCTGGCTCTTGTTCTTGAGGTATTTGGCACGAATACTGTTTATTCCATGAAATTTGTTCTATGTTTTCACGTACCTAATACACCAGGGTTCTAATGCTCTTAAATTTCATGCAAGTAAGTCCACTGGCTTAAGGGAAAGAACCGTTTTATTGCTTCTCTTTTAGGCACATTTAATTTCTTCGTTCTTTAATTTCATCAAAGTGAAAATAGATAAGAAACCATAAACTAAAAATAAGGTAGAGTATTTATAAACACATTTAGATTTCATTTAGTAAAGTTTGTTGACACACTTGTGTAAAGAGCAGTGCATAAACTTTAGAGAAATTTTACAGTCTTTTTTGGATATTATACTCACAAATGCAATTAATTCACCGTCGGATGGTGAGAAAAAATGTCGTTGATCCTTGGATTAAATATTGTTAAAGTATTTAAAATTTAAACTATTGTCTTTAGAGAGAGATAAAAGTTGAGAGAATGACAATCAAAATGAACCATAGAATTTTCTATAAACTTATGCTTGACTCAAATTTTCTGTCATGTGGCAGTGAATAACAGAGAAAGAATAGACTCAAAGAAATCAGATATATATTGCAGTCCTTTTCTCTATTTCTTTCTTGATATTCCGGTTCTTGTTCGGAAAAGCTGAAGATGATATATCATCATCATCATCATCATATATCATCATGGGGAATGAAAGTATAAAACGAGCAAAGACCATTCAGCTGAAGTCACAAGCACAAGCAAGAAGCATGAATGAGAGTATATGTACGAGTTGTCATATTCATGTATATTCCCAATCCAACCCTGTTTGATGCTTCTAGGGTTTTCCAAATATTCGCACGGAAAAAAAAAAAAAATTTAGCGATTAAAATTTCTTTAAGTTTCTTGGTACGGAGCATTCACAGTATTAAAGACCTAAAAATTAAAAGACAATGTCGGTAAATATTGGACAAATTACGAGGTCATTATTATTGGCTTAAAGTTCCACGTAATTTCTTCGTGAATTGTGATTAAGGACTACAAGGAAGACTTGGTAACAGTTCACGTGCCTGCGAATGGGAATAATCAACTTTTGATCAGAATTGAATTAAAAATGAATTTGTATAAGAAGTGAACTCAAATCTCAAACCAATGAATCCCAGTTGTATTTTTTATTTATATTTTGTAATGTTGGATTTGTCCCAAAAGGAGTTGTTTAATTAAAAAAAGTGAGTTATTTTTGTTTTTGTATGGGTTCTGGTCTGGTCTGGTCCTGAAAACACAAAAGAAAGATCAAATTTTTGGTCACTCTCATCAGAGCCTATCATCTCTGCATCTGATCTTCTGGATGCAATAAAGTTAAAACCCTTTTTTCTTAACTTTGTGCCTTGGATTTGTTCTTCTCTTGGTGTCTTTTACGATTCTTTCCTCCACCTTAACAGCGCATTAAAATCTCTGGTGTGTCCTCTACTGTTCCCGTTCACCCTTTTCTTCTTGGCCCTATCCTCACTTCTCTTGCCCTTTTCTTTTTGGCCTTGTCTCACACACTCTCTCTTCCCTCGTCATTTAATATTATGCTCTGAAAATGATATGTAACTGCGTCTGAAATCTTTTTTTTTTTTTTTTTGTTGGTTGACAACAATGCTGTTTAACCTCTTACGGGTGAAACTGGTTAATTTAAAGCATGGGCATGGCCACCAGCTTATAAGATGTATGAACTTACTAGGGAAATAAATATGTTTTGTACGAGTAACCAAAATTTGAGAAAACAGAGAAACAAGAGGTGGGAACGTAGGAAGATTTTTCCTTGATGAAGTGATATGATGGGAGTGGGGTGCAGGTAAATCGAGTCGAGTTAAAATTGGTTTACTTGAGTTTGAGTTTGATCTGGTTCAAACACTCGACATCGAGATTGAGCTAAAATTTGTGTCTAATTAAGATAAACTACAACTGGTCTACTTTTTCTTGTAGGAAATAAAATATACACTTTACTAAAATAAATATTAAAATAGTAGTGTGATTCTTAAGATTGTAATTCTTAGTCTATATTCAAAAACCTTCTATTGCCTTTGTTTCCCGCGGCTGCAAAGTCGTTTAAATCCTCATTTTTTTTTCTGAATAATGCGAGACAAAAAAAAAAATACAAAACGCAAACTGTTTGAATCAAAATCTTGTGTTTTCCTGTCTGATGAGAAGAGACTCGATCTATTTCAATGTCATATATCAGGGTTTTCTTTCTTTCTAATTGCTGAATTGTCATGTCAAGGAGCTAGTCCAAAGAAAAAGTATAATACAATCAGTTCCATTTATTTGTTGTTTTGGCTTATTTTCAGTCTGTGTAGGCTTGCATAATCAACGATCAATTGCTGTTTCTGGCACCCGTTGTGCTCAAAACTCAAATCAGCTGCAAAATGAGTTGGTCTTCTCTTTATCTTTTACTATTTTTGGTATCAAGTTTGCTCAAGAAACAGGTGCACGCTGTTCAGTTCTCTTCCAGGTCTGCAAATGCTGTTGGAGTTGTGCAATCCATTGTTCATGATATGAATTGTATAGTGGCATCATGCAAGGCATAGAAAGAAACAGATCAAACATAGAGTTAGCCCCTTCAAAATATTTTGCTTGGGTAGGAATCTTATAGTTTGTTCAGCCTGGTTTGCTGTAGTATTACTGAGTTGTAATATCTGTGTGTTACATATGATTTTCTGCAACAAAACGAGTTTAACTGCCTCAAGAGAAAGTTTACCTCAGGATGGGATTCAAATTTCAACAGTTTATAGAAACATTAGCAGAAGGAGCAGTCAGCAAAGTAATAGCTCAAATTTTCTGTTAAACCCATAATCATAATTCATCAAGTTCGACTCATAGCATATAGACTTCACTAAATTTTTCTCGATGTATAATTGCC